AGGTATTCGCGTTGTTCGCAGCTCACCATCGAACCGAAGGGGGCGTAGACTGCGCGATATTCACGGACGCCGCGATCGTCTCTCTCGGGAGAAACGGAGATCTGGTCGGCAACAAGTTACCTTCTCCCCCGTCTTTTGACGATCGCAGAACGCTCGGGCGTGGAGACTCGAGGTCGACTAGCTTCACCGTACGCGCTAACGAGGATTGGACCGAGGAGACGTGGATGGAGGCGGCGAACATTCGCCGGCAGTCCATGTACGAAGAAACGCGACTCTCGATTCTCAACGACTGGAACGAGGTGAAAAATCGGGTGAGCAGAAGTAGTCTCTTTCCGCGCGCACATTTTCCAGAGAATCGTCCTGCTGATGTTCGCAACGACAGGTAAAGGAACTGCTGGACGAGAACGAGGCGGCTCCGGAGAATGCTCGCCTGCCGATTTCTGCCTTCGATCTCGATCAGGAGGCGCGAAAGCGTAAGCTGGCAGAAGCCCGATCGAAGGAGGAACTGCTGGTTAAAGATGCCGAGGAACGAGTCGCGCGGCACGATCGCGCCAGCCGTTATTTCCGAGAGACGTTCTTAGACTCTCTGACGGTTAAACCGAGGAGCATCTTCTCCCTTTTCGCTCGATCGAAAGTCACCAACTATCCTCTGGCGAAACTCGCCCCAGAAGACACCGATCGTCTGTCTTGGTGTCGATTCTCTATGGAAATGAGGGAAATGGTGTCCAGGTATATAACTGTATAACTACTTCTCTGCAGAAGGGGAGTTCCGAATAGGAAACGAACCTTCTCTAATTCTATCCCAGGTTGGAGGACGAAGCGGGGGAGAATTCGGAGGACTCGCGGAGCTCGAGCTCGCATCCAGGCTTCGTGGAGATTCTCGAGGCGTGTACCGTCGCGGAACACCGGGAACGTGAATTGAAAGCTCGATTCAACGAACGCTTCGAGAAGACGCGATCCAGGAAGAAGAGCGAGATGAGAGCGGCAAACGAACGGGTGGAGAGAACTCGTCGTATCGTCGACGAATTGGCGAGCACGTTTGGCGTGGACGCACGCTCCAATCTCCTCGAGGATGCTCCGCGCTGGCACCCGATCGAACTGTTGGAAGAAGAAGAAGAAGAAGAAGAAGAAGATCCTATCGTCGACGTAAAAACCGAGGAAAACGAAGAAGGGACAGAGACGGAAGGCGACGATTTCCATCGAGAGGCGCTCCAACGAACGATGGACGGCGTGTTGGAACCTAGGTTAGAGGACAACGCGAAGAGGAATATCCCGGTGCCTGACTGCCTTCTGCGAACCAAGTGTGCGACCGAGGAGGACGTTCGAGCGATAGAATCTTACGAGAAGAAGCTTCGCGTTCAAGAGGAAGATCGAGGAAGATACAAGACGATGCTGGAGGCAGAGCTCGAGCGGATCAAAGGTAATAGGATTTCAAAGGTAATAGAACTATTAATGCAATAATACGATCGTTGCTACTTTCTTCGTTCCAGAGGAATTTTGGAAAAGTGCCAAAGCCTTCGACGACGAGTTACACGAGCTTTCCGCGGAAAAGATGCGCACCGTCGAGCGGTCCATATTGGCAGAGAGGCTGAAGAAAGTGCAAGCAATTCTCCAGCACCGAAGAATCGTCGAGGGAAAACGGGAAATTCAGCGTAAGGTCGAGTTGGAGCTCGTACCTGCGACGAAGGAGGTACGTAAACTCAGCGAGGATTGCGATCTCTTCGAAGCGGCCGTCGCTGAGTTGAGGAATCGGTACGAGAGCGTACGTAAAGGAGAGAAGCTAGTCGACGGGAAGTTTCGGGCGGAACTGGCCGATCTAAAGACATCGTCGACGGAGGAGCACTTGTTCAGACACTATCGTAGGAGACCAAGATTGTTGGAAGCGGGCTGCAGCACGTCCGTCGCCTTTCTCGCCGAACTCGCCAGCTGTCTGGTCGAGCAAAGATACTCGGAGATCTTACCGCGAGAGTGTTCAGCCTATTTGCGACGTATGGACGAGTTGGACAGGATGCCAGAAGGACTGTCCTCTCGACTGGAGCCTGACCACTGGCGCGCCGTCTGTCGTCTCAGAAGGCTGAAGCTGGAAGCAGAGACAAAGGCGAGAAGTTGCGCGATCGAATTGGCGGAAGCTGAACAAAGCCTGACGTTTATGCGGAACGCCTGTTCGATTGGCCGAAATACGGCGAATCGGTGCAAACAGGAAATAGAACGCGAGGAAAAGTCCTTGGCGGATCTGTCCAACGATCGAGAGGTTTCGCTGTTTCTAAAAGCGGGACAACTCTATATGGAGGCGAAGGAAGCCTGTCCGCGTACCGACTGGGAACACGCAGTTTTCATTCCCCGAGAAGAATTGACTCGCGCGAACGAGGCAATCGCAGAAGCGGAAAGACGAAGATCCGTTGCGCTGGAAAAACTCGAGAATATCGAGAAAACGGTCGCTCTCGAGGAGTGGCGGCACGCTCGAGTCAAAATGACCATGGAAGATTTGCAAGAGGAGGCAAAGGATCTGGAATTATTCAAGGTGCGCAACGATTATCGCCAACGATTATCTTTTTTTCCCTCTTCTTTTTTTACTCCTAGGTGAGCAGAATCGCGTTGGAACGTTGCCAACGTTCGAAGCTCGAGAAGACGTCGAAGGAGGAAGCTGAAAGAGTCGAGTACGCACGACGAAAGGTGACCTCGACGCGCTCTAATTGGCGGAAATAAAAACGGATAGATCGATACACGTACTTGCGTCGTACACGTTGCAGGAAATCGTGGAAGCGGTAGAACGAGAGCGATCCAAGTTGAAACGAACGGAAACGGAGACGGAAAGGTGGCGACGAAGGAACGCGCGGCTAACCGAGGAAATCGATCGATCGATAGCCGAGAGATGCGAACTCGCCGATGCATCCCGGGATCCCCTTCGGTCGAGAGTGGCCGTTTTCCAAAGACGGCGAATCAAGGCGATAAGACGAAAGGCGCGTCTCGCGCGACTAATCGAGGAGAACGCAGAGGAACTCTCCAGTCTGAAGAATCGCTTGGAGATATCCAAGCTGCGAACTTATCCGACCTTGAGAATGAAACGTTAAGCGATCGCTTAACAACGAAGATCAATTACGTCGCGGTTGGGATTTCCCGCTTGTTATAAATTGATACGGTACCGGACTTTCCGCAATTGTCTTTTCCTCGTACACGAATAGAAAGAGCCCGGGCGATAACGGGCGATAACGGGCGATAACGGGCGATAACGGGCGACAGGTCGAGACGATAACGGACCGGAGGAGTAGTTACACAAACTATGCGGGGGCACAGGTCGAGTTATCGATGCGGTTGTTTTCGCGGATGAAAGTCGTGGCGGTAACCTTGGCGCGAGTGCAAGGAAAATCACAGGTCGTTCGCACGTATACCACGTCGCGACGCCGTCCAATCGGGAACTGCGAACGCGTCTAGCGCGTCCTCGACTCTCCTCGTCTCTCCTCGATTAGCTCGTAAACCGTGTCATCTCTTGAAATAAACGCGCGTATTTACGATTGGCGAGAATCGGAGAACCCCGCGACGACCCAGAGGATATCGCGATCGGACCTGACGACCTGTACGCGCCAATTCTCGCCGCTGTGGAGGGGGGAGCAGAGAGGGAAAGCGATGACTGCGACGAGGTCGCCCATCTCCTTCTCTGATCTCTCCCTCCAGGTATTACTACTATTACTACTACTACATGTACTACCGCTGCTAATACTACTACTTCTGCTGCTACTGCTACGCGAGACGAGAAATGAAAAAAAAAGATCCTCCTGTATATAAGGAGAAGGCTCGATTAGCCGGAACGTCAAACACTCGCGCGACGGTTTATCGCGACGACAGTTCCTTCATTGGCCATCCGAACGAACCAACGAACGGTGTCACCATGACGTCCGTTCCAGCGGTGATCGTCAGCTCGATCTTCCTCGTTGCCGCGACCGCGACCACGACCGCTCTCGCAGGCGCGCCTCCTTCCGCGAAAGTCTGTAAGTATGGATGGATGTAGTAGATAGAAGTAGAAAGATTCGAGCGAACCCTCGATCGCCGCAGATACGATATGCGTGCCGGAAATCTACTGGAAGGATTGCGTGGACATGATAAACGACTCGGCTCAGAAAGGGATCCCGGTGTCGTGCATATCTGGCCGCGATCGATTCGAGTGCATCGAGAAAGTCGGTAAGAAGGAGGCCGATGTGGTGGCCGTCGATCCGGAGGACATGTACCTGGCGGCGAAGAACAACGAACTCGCGTCTAAGGCTGGCTACAGCATCGTCGAACAAGTAAGTGAAACGTTTCCTTCTTGCGAGAGGAAGATGATCTCCCTGGTGATGTTCACAGGTGAGAACGAAGGAGGAGCCCGAAGCTCCGTACCGCTACGAAGCCGTAGCTGTGATTCACAAGGATCTGCCGATCGACAACGTGCAAGGCTTGCGCGGCCTAAAGTCCTGTCACACCGGTGTAGGTCGCAACGTTGGATACAAAATTCCCATCACTAAACTCACAGCCATGGGAGTGTTGCACAACTTGCACGATCCAGAGTACTCTGCACGCGAGAACGAACTGCGCGCTTTGAGTTCGCTGTTCTCCAAGGGATGCTTGGTTGGAACCTGGTCTCCAGATCCAGCGATCAATAGAAGACTGAGTAAGCCTTTCCTCCTTCTTTCTTCCAACGCCTTTCTAACGACGTTCTAACGTCGTTCTAACTGTCTTTCCTTCCATTCTCCAGAGCAGACCTACTCGAACATGTGTGCTCTCTGCGAGAAGCCCGAGGTCTGCGATTACCCGGACATTTACTCCGGATACGAAGGCGCTTTAAGGTGTCTCGCTCACAACGGCGGAGAAGTCGCCTGGACGAAGGTGATCTACGTGAAACGTTTCTTCGGCCTGCCCGTCGGCGTATCCCCAGCCGTACCAACCTCCGAGAACCCTGCCGACTACCGATACTTTTGTCCAGACGGCACCAAAGTGCCGATAGACGCCAACACGAAACCGTGCACATGGGCAGCCAGGCCTTGGCAAGGGTACATGACGAACGGCGCGGTCAAAGACGTCGAAGGCGTCCAGAAGGTTCGTCTAAACCGCCCCTCTACGGTTGCGAATCTTCTATATGTATATGTACATACGTACGTAGGAACTGACGGATCTCGGTAAACTCGGAGAAGCGGAGAAGGCAGCTTGGTGGAAGGACATTATGCTGCTGGACGAGAAGACTCTGGCCGTACCCGCGCCGGTAGTATTGCCCGAAAGCCATCTGAACAACGCCAAGTACATGGACGTGATCGAAAGGAACTCCGGTGCCTCGGACAAGGTGGCTCGTTGGTGCGTCTGGAGCCAAAATGCCCTGGACAAGTGCCACGCTCTCTGCAAAGCCTCCTTCTCCAGGTATCGTATATAGGTATTTATATCTGAAGCGCGCGTGGCAAACGACCTTGCGTTGCTTACCGCAACGATACGCGTTCTCTCACCAGGGACGTCAGACCGAAACTCGAGTGTATCCTCGAAAAAGGCGAAGACGATTGCTTGGAAGCCATCAAGGATGGCAGCGCCGACTTGGTCGTTCTCGAGGGAGGCTCCGTTGTTCGGGCGAGCAAGGAGTACAACGCTAAACCGATCATCGCGGAATCCTACGGACCAGGCTCGACGGACTTGGGCGAGAGGCCGGCGGTGGCTGTCGTGAAGAAAGCCGCTTCCATCGATAAACTGGGTAACGAAGCTAATCCCCC